AAAACTTACCTCTTGAGGGGGTGCAACGCACGGGCAAAAAAAAACTAGTTAATTACTAAGACACAAAAGATTTAGAAATGAAGGCGTTTATGTTATCTGTTTTTAGTCGCAAATCGCACATCAATTGATGAATTTATGACAAAAAAAAATTGCTAAAATTCAAAGTTGTCAGTTGTGAGTGTTGGGTTCTTGTCAATGTAGATGATTATTTAGTTTAATAATCTTTGACTAAATCTTGGATAAATGTCAACAAGAAATTTTTTTTTATTATAAAAGAATGAGAGAGAATAATCACAAGAGAAAGAGAATGCCAAGCTGTAGGGGTAGTAAACTGAAAGACAAAGCTGTAACCAGCAATCTTCCATTGCTAGAAATGTTGAAATTTTGTCCACTCATTGGCGCAAGGGCCCCGGTAGAAGGTGAAATAGATTGTGATGGGGATGGAGATATTGCGATGGATGGGACTCCAGGATCAAATGAAAATGGTGATGCTGCATTAGAACTTTGATTCCCTGCACCAAAATCAATTATTAAAACAAATATAGCTTTGACTTGGCACCGTAAGAATGCTAAAGCGGGTATCCTAAAATCTGAAACAACTCTTGCCGAAGCCCGCCATATACCACTTATTGTATTTTTTTCCAATGTAGAATTAGGGTATCAGAAGAAGAGCACTTACCTGGACAAGGAGCTTGAGAAGAATTAGCTAAACTGCAACGTAAAGATGATGGAAATTAGTTGTATTACCAAATGCTGGAATTAATTCTGCTAGCTAGATTTCTACTCTTTGTAGATTAAGCTATTGAATGAAGGGAAAATTGTGTTGTTACCTTCTGAAAATCTTGCCACCAAGATGGCCACGGTACACACAAGTAGTGATGTTACACCCTGTAGCCGTTTGATTCACATGTGAGTCGCCAATAAAAAGATCAGATCCCTTGCATTGTAACTGAGAGCATGTGGTTGCAATACCAGAGGTCCCGCATCGCAAACTGATCAATCATCACAAGGTAATTAATGCCTAATGTGGTTGCAAAAAAGGGAAAAAGGAAAATGGAAAAAAAATTTTCCAGCTTACTTGAGGTCATGCTGTCCACAAGAACATTTGATGCAGTTGTTGGCAGTAAGAGCATATGATCCATTGGGAACAATTAGGCTCTCATTGTACCAGTTGAGGTTTGCAGATGAACATGCTGTAAATCTAAGAAGAATCACATTAATGATGCTATTGTACTGCTCAAGTCCATAAATGTTAGCCTCTTGGGACAACATAATCAGAAATGCAAGGATAAGAACGTTGGTTTCACAGTTTCACCTTGATGTGCAGAACTTTAATGGAGAAATCTGGATTTATTCATGCCCTGATTAACTTGAACTTTAATGATAGCTTAGACTTTTAGAATGACTGACCTGAAATTGGGATGGAGAGTATGTCTCCAGGATCAACCTCCGGCTGGCCGAGCCCATTCACTGCCACCAAGTTCATGGTACTGACCCCAAATTCAGCCCCAATGCTGCCCAAACCATCCCCCCTTTGCACTACATATGACATGTACACTGAAGCAATCCCATTGTTAACATTGTCAAAGCATGTGCATGGCAATGGAATCACAAGTTTCTCCCCACTCATTAACGGATTCTGGGTATTAATACCATTGGTATCCCTTATTTGTTCTGCACTAACCAGCCCACCAAAGCCAGCTGAAATTGAGTCCGGTGTGTCAGCTGCCTGAACAGTGTAAGTTGTAGACAAGGATCGTCGAATTCCATCCACACATGGGCATGAAATAGGCACTCTTAGAAATGCTTTGGCATGGAAAATTTGGTCACCTAATGTTTTGGGACTGATAGAATTGGCTGCTAGGAGATCAGAGGCATTGATCCTAAAGCGGTATGATATCTCAGCGAGTTCTGAGTCATAGGGGAGGATGTAACCCAACAGAGAGGAGCAAGAATCGGAAGAACTGCATGGTTCAATCATGGATTTTGCATTTGATATTGGAATTGATATTAAGACCAGTACCATAAGAGTATGAAGGACAGTGGGGAGATGAATTTGTGCTGGTGGGTGCTTCATTTTTTTTGGAGTTATCTACAAAAACCTTGGACTAGAGTATGATGGAGAAAGCATTCAATAAATTGGTACTGAGAAAGCAGTGGCACAAATGCATTTTTCGATACAAGTATGAAACTTTGAAAGAAGGATATGGTCATGCCTAACTCATTGCAGCAGCTGGCTATACCCACCAGCAAGAGCTTTTCAGTGGTAGTCAGCTTTTGGCTATATACACCAGTAGGCCTGTTTGGTAGTGCATGTAGAAGCTTCAGTCTTTTTATATTATTTATGTTTTATAAGTTTAAATTTTTTTAAAATATTTATATTTTAAAAATATTTTTTAATTTTAAAAAGATCACAAAAACTTTAAATTCAAACTTTTCATAATTTCCTTTTTACTCACTTTTTTTTATTTTTAAAAATAATTTTTAAATTTTTTCTATAATAAAAATTTAAACTTATTACTCATAAATAATACAAGATAAGCAAAAACTCCAACAAACTGCACCAAACAGGCGATATAACTGTTTGTCTTGTTCCATTCACCAACCTCCCATAATCTCATTGCTGATTGCTGTCCCTTACAACAGCACCATCTGCAGGAAGGCATCTGTTCTGTTATTCGAGCACTTAGAAATTTTGAAGACAACCTCCATAGTATTAGGCCATTAGGGACAAAATGGTTAAGAAGACAATCATTTTCTTTTGTTGAAGGCCTCTGTTCTTTGATTCCAGCCCTTGGTAATTTCGTTGAAGGCACTATTTTGCTAGCTGGTATCCAGATTTGACAGCACCTACCGAGGGTACACATTTAAAGTGGCATTGGCCTTTTCTTTTGAACTCATCATGGGAACGTACAATCCTGCACATAGACATGAATCCAATATCAAATAGACATGAATGCATGAGTTTGGTGAATTTCACTGGTAAATGTCGCTAACATGTTGAAGACAAAAAAAAGAAAAAGAAAAAGGAGTAATTATTAGGATGTTGAACGGACGAAGCAGTTCCACTCCCGTGTTCCGTCCATTGCTTTTCGCTTTCTTATGGTTAAATTCAAAATTTAGTCCCTTAATTTAGCAACTTGAGTTTATTATGGTCTCTCAACTTTTTAAAATTATTTTTTAGTTCTCAAACTTTATTTGGAATTAAGTTTTAATTGTTTTAGATTCTATATCTTCTTAGGGTTTAGTATATACGATACGTGGGATTAATTAGATATAATTAGATATTTTAGATTTAGTATTTATGGTATTATAATTTAGATTTTTTAGAGTTTAGTATGTATAGTACTATACAGTATTAAAAATTAATTAAATTTTTTAAGTTTAATATTTATGGTATTATAGTTTAGATTTTTTAAGGTTTAGATTTCTTATAATGTTATATTTAAGACGTTAAGGTTTAGATTTTTAATGTTTATATTATTAAGATTAGGGGCTTAATATTTAGAATTAAATATTAATTAATAATTTATAAATTAAAAATTACAAAATTTAAAAGTTAAAATTAAAAATTATTAGATCTAAAAGAAAAGATAGAAAAGCTACAGGTAGTAATTAGCCTGATTATTCCTCATAGCATTACAAAAAAAACACCACAAACCCGCAAACATTTTTGTAAATTTTGATATGATAAACATTAATATTGTATCTAGGTTAAATATCCTTTTTGGTTCCTCTACTATAAGAAAAAGCTTTTTTTTTTTTT